TAAATAAGAATTAACATTATATTGATGAGCATGGTAAGTTACTCTCCCAACAGAGTTTTCAGAAGTGGTTCCATAGTCTGCTGCCAAACCTCATAGCCCTTGAGGACGAGGTGCACTTTGTCAGAGCTGTACCGGTCGGGGATCTCTTTGCCCGGCTCTGTCTCGAACTCTTTGGACATATCGAGGAAGAAGACGCGCTTCTTATCATCGAATTTAGCGATTATTTTATTGATTTCCTCGACTTTGAGTCCGAAATTGCCGTCACGTGGAAGGACTCCCAACAGAAGTAGTTTAGTGTTGGGAAGTTTGGCCTCCAATTGGTGGATGATCTCTTGGATTCCGTGAGCTATATCAGGGGCAGTACAGTCGCCCAAATTGTTTGTCCCTGTTCATTGATTGGGGCATCAATTATGTGAGTATTGTGTGAAATAATTGTTTTGGATATGAAATACCGATTAACATGACGAGTGCTTTCGGGGTGATGTCATCGAACTCTTTATTCTGTATCCTCCAGAGGACGTTCTCCGTACGATCCCCTTCCACACCATAATCGTAGGCATGTCTGGCCGCGTAGTGCTTCTCCCACACGGCTTTCCCGTCACCATTGACCCATCGGTTGGTTATGGAGTCGCCCAGAAATACGAGTTTAATGTCATTCTTGTGTTGCAGTGTTTGGTTGAGAAGTCTTTCATGGGTTTTGATCCAATCGCCGCCTTTGGGCTCCGGTTCCCACGGGACGCTAACACTCACTCCTATGAGACATAAACTAATTGTAAGTTTCAAAAGCATTTTTATTTGTTCTGGTAAAGTATGGTTAAAATTATTTGGTGTTTATTTAAATTTATAGCAATTTTATATCACATTTAATGAAATAATCTTAGAAAAATGTGTCATTTCACATAGAATTTGAGAAATTATAGTAAATACAGGTGTTGTTTGTGCATTTATCTATAAAAAATTTGTGATTATTAAATATTTAGGTACGCTATTATCTATGGACCAAACTTTATTGAATTTTTAAGAACTGGTTACTAGTATATTTTTTACGAAATGGGTGCAAATTTATGAATATTAAGGGAATTGAATATATTTAACGTACATAAATAATTAATGTAGTTTTAATATACCGGTAAAATATAAAACTATAAATAAAATATAAATTACAGATAGTATATTTCCGTAGAATATAAAATAAAAATATTTTAGTTTTAATTTAATAAGATATTTAAAACCATACTTATATACTGTATTCCCTCCCACTCCCTTAAAAATAATATTGAATAAACATGCACTTAAGTACCAGAATGTATTTCAACTTCTTATCAACATAAATAGTATCAGGATAGTAAAATATATCCGGATATTTTTGTGTAAGAGTGAAAATATTTTTCTATGATTAAATATAATTTAATTAAAAAACTTTTAATCTTATAAAAGCATAAAAGTAGGACAAGATATCAATGAAATTGATGTAAGATTCTTATTATACATAAATCTATCATAAAATTGTATTAATAAATAATGTGAATAAATAAATAAATAATAAATAATAATTGAAGAATAAGTAAACCGGATCTAGTTAATTATTCAAATACAGTAATGTTCAATATTACTACACTTTAAAATAAATTTTTAAAAAATAATCTTGATTAGTTATATTGTTTTACTTATCTTAACTCCACTAAACTACAGACTCTGTAAAGTAAACCACTAAAGTAATTGAATTATAGAATTAAATTAAAATGCTTTTTAATAATGTTATCATTAATAAAGTAGGTTTAGGTTATACTAAACAGACAATTATAATTGCAATACAGAAATACTAGAATTCTTATAAACCATACAAATTCACATTTAAGTCAATTCTGTGAACCAAAAGTTTGCAAATTCTGTATCTTAACCACAAAATAATGTAATTACTGAACGACCCACACATAAAGGGGCCATAAATAGCATCATTCATTACATTAGGTTCAATGGGAGAGCACTCATGTAGTTTGCATTGAAGCCAAACCCCACCCCTTCATCAGTGCATTGGTATATGAATGGCGCCAACAGTGAGACTGCTGTCAGCAATGGTTGACACAAACAGAGCTGTCATTTGAAAGTTGACAACAAATACAAGACATTGGATCCAATCGAGTGACACATCATTGAGTTAACAGAGTGTCGAAAATGTGCGACAATTGTGAAGAACTGCGGTTAGAGATGACGGGACTTCGGGATCAAAGCAATCAACTCATCAAAGAGTTATTGTGTGCCAAACAAGTGATCAAATGTCTCGAGAAGATCAAGTGTTTGGCGATTGTCTTGAAGACCAACTGCCGGTGCGATCACAACAAGTCTCTTATTAAGAGGAATGAGTTCCTCTTCACGGACTACCGGCAGACCAATCAGCAGCTGATGGACATCAACTCGGATGAGGCCGTCATTCACACCATTATCACGACCGCCGCCACCGCCGAAGAGTTGATCACCGATTGTCATACAAATGGTTGAGTCCTACCATTCAATGCTTATGTCTTTGGTGTCTATAATACCTTTTGATTCGTTGTCTCAGTAGAGGAGTCGATGTCTGAACTGACATCAGATGTGGTGGTGTCTGAAGAACAGGTGTCAGCCATGAAGTCGCCGAAGAGGTCGGCGCGAGTGCTGAAGAGAATGCAAATGAGTCCCAAATATGGCAAAAGTGTTGACTCGAGTACGAAGACACTGATGACCAACAAATCGGAAGTGATTTTAAGTGACAACACCTTCCGGTGCGGTCTCGAGGGCTGTGATTTCGAGTGCCGGCGAAGGAATACCATCGACCGACACGTGCGGTCGCACTACCAGTCCTCAGACGACGACCGGCCCTTTCAGTGCGATGTCAACGACTGTCGCAACGCCTTCCGATCCAAAGAGCATTTACGTCAACACAAGCTATCACTGCATCCAGAAGTGCTGCCAAATGTCAATTGGATTGAGTGTACGGCTCCGGGATGTGACTACAGGACTAAGTCGAGTAATGTGTTCTTCAAGCATAAGCGCCGGCATACCCTTCCCTTCGTGTGCCACCTGTGCGACCGGCGGTTCGCGACCCCCAAACCCCTGGAGGTTCACATACGGCTGCACTCGGGGGTCAAAGAGCACGTGTGTCCGCACTGTTCCAAAGCGTACGGTCCGCGCAAGAGTCTTATGGCACACATCCAGCGCTCGCACAGTCAACACGTGTTTGTCTGCGAGTACGACGACTGCGACAAACAGTTCGCGTCAGAGGCACAGCTCCGACAGCATAGGCTTAGGGTTCATGACTCGAGTTATGTGCGACCCGTGGCCTGCATTTGGGTCGGATGTGAGCGCAGGTTTGACACCAACGCTCAGATGGAGGACCACCTCAACAAACACACCGGCGAACGCTTCCATGAGTGCAGACATTGCGGCCATTCGTTCACTACTAAGGCTGACCTCTACTCCCATGTGTCGAACCAGCATAAGGACAGGCCGTACGCCTGCGAGTGGACGGACTGTAAATATAGGGCCGCTTTCATGAGTCGGTTGAGGACTCATCAGAAGAGACACGAAATGCACACTAAATGACCCCTTGGTTTCACCATTTAGTCAATCATTTTGTAATTTTAAACTATTTTATACTTCTTTTATAATAAAATACTTTATTTTACAAATTAAATTACCGGTATTGTACTTGATAATAATTTAAACTGTAGATTTATTAATATTTAGATTTATTTTGGTTTAAAACCTACAAAAGTTAATTGATAAAACTTTTTGATCACACATTTGATTAATAATGCCTGACTTAAAAATTGATAAATTACAGAATAATGAATAATTAAAAAATGCTAGCTAAAAATGATACAGGTATAGTACTGTATATTGGATATAAAATATATACTGTATATTGACAATGTGGTATCAAATGAGCGCTAAATGAATGACTTTTGTATGAAAAGTGTTTCAATGCATTGACTCTAGGCTTACAGTCCTTTCCGTCTTACAGTGCACTCACTCTCACGTCCAGTCCTTTCACTTCTAGACATCAATTGATCACTGAATCCAGTCTTCAGTCATTACTCTTATTAGATATCAATTCAATTGATTTTATAATAGACTTAGAGTTGAATCAACAGATTATTAGCAATTAGAGGGAAATAATAGAAATTCAGTTGAAATGCATTTCACGCGACAATAATTTGCATGTTATATACGGCACGAGATTAACACTATTTCTAACATTTATTTCAATTTGATTAACAGTTAGAGAATTGGTTTAAATATAATTGAAATCTTTACACTGGAAAGCCTTTTATCGTAATTGCAATTCAGTTCATTGGTAACCAACTCTTTCTCAAGAAATGAACACACAGGTGTCGGCCCTACCATCAGCAGCACCATCAGCCGCACCATCGACTGTCTCGGCCGAGAGATCTGGTCATTTGAAACCAATTATAAAAACTTGTCATTATTTTTATGTTTAACTCTTTCCCAAAGCTTTATCCAAAGCCCCCACTAAAAAGCCCTCCCCCTTCGCAGGCACCCAAATAAGCAAATGATTGGCACGAATTCATTAGATTTGATTGAAATCCTATTATTTATCAAAATTCTTGATATTTTTGTATTTATTTCTAGAATTACTTATCTTCACATTTCATTGTTTTTTATAAAATGTATTAAAAGTTAAATTTTGTTATGTTTTACTCTATTATTAAATTATTTCAAAAGTTTTTGATCCATTTATTATACGGTACTGTATTAATAAAATAAAATTCAGTCAAAATGCAGGTCAGACATCCCGTGGATCAGGTCTTGAATTGTCTCAATCTGTAGAAAAGTGGGTTCTTGTGGTAGACCTCATCGATGGCACTGATGGCTAAGACATGAAACTAGAAATGAATGTAAATTCTAATGAAATCAATGATTTGATGCCGGAATCGATTGAGTCGGTCATCGGTTAGACGCGAGTCATCGACAGTACGGACAGACATGAAGGCGTTGGGCCACAGAGGGGTTCGGCTAATGTCACAACAGCTCCGGTAGTGAAACATTAGTACATCAGTAGACTCCGTGTATTTAGTGTAAGCGGTGGTCGAGTTGGACGACAAACTGATCACATCGTGAATACCCATAGCGTCCACTAAATGGGTTCTCATGACAATACCCTTAGGACGCCATCCCTTTCCCCATATATGCGACTGTCGTGTGAAATGACTGAGAATTTTGGGAAAGGATTTCATGTGATTTGTGTTGAATTCACAGCAAAATAAGACGTTTTGCAGCGAAAGGGTCGCTATATTTGAGTCGCTATTATATTCACTTAATATAAACTCTTTGAGAGTATTGTATGGTTTGAAAGGAACCACGAATTCGTCGTAATCTACGAAAATAATGATTTTCGACGCGAATCGATGCAAACAGTCGTCTATCATGGAGACCTGGTTCACTTCAGTGTCTCCTACTCTGTTGCCATCAATCATCTGCCAGGGAATCAGTTCAACAAACTCTGACATCGACTCCAAGAGTCTCATGACATCACTTGCAATGAAGTCCTTATAGAAGACTATTTTGTCGATTCCGTTGATTCTGTAAAATGCTATGAATTCTAGTAGAGATCGCACTGTGGGTCGAAACAGTGGTCTAACGCAGACCATAATCTCTGGAGTGTTTAGAGATGAAGAATATTCTTGGCTTTTGTACTCAATATGAATGGATTCTGAGATAACTTGTGGTGAAGTTTGGCTAACAATGCGAACATATGTCGGTTTAGTTTGTGGTGTTATCTCACATAGCATTCGCGTTGAATCGTATTCATTGTCCACCCAATCGCGCATTTGTTTCAGTTTTACAACACTTTTATATAAATCATTTGATTTCTCGTCCATCAAAATACAGTCAAAGTCTTTTGTGGCAAACCTCTTGTTGTCGATAAAAATTTGAGCCAATATTTCAACACTGTTTCCATTATATGTTGCAAATGCAGAATATATGGGAACAGCGAAAGGTTTTAAAGTAAGTGTTTGCCACAAATGGTAGGTTTTTGTGGGCACATAACCGCCGGTCCGTAATGTCTTAAACTCAATATCCGTGCCGTTAATCTTGTCCTCATTATAGCACTGTTTAACACAACCCCGAGAATAGTCTCCGCAAACACTTTTGCCGCATCTTTTGCCCCAACAGTACTTGCAGTCAAAAAGCCACCAAAAGTTTAAAAATAGAAAAACTATTAAAC